CATCAAGCACTAGACAAATGACTCAATCATAAACCATTTTAGGCTGACACGTTAAACCTGTGGTTCTAGAAGGCTGAGGGGTATACAGTGGGGGGAAAAGCCCAAAACAAATGAAAAAGTATTCTTCGTGACCAATTGATCAATTAGACCACTTTTCATTAAAAACCATGAAAACTCAGAAGCAACTTAGCAATGATGGTCCTAGGAGTGCATAAAAGCATTAATAATGCTGGATTCCTTTTACTCACTTATTTTTAGTTCTCTTCAGAAAATTATACTTGAGAGCCTTTTGTAATAGCAATTAAGGGGCAAATAAGACTGACACAGCCCTAGAACAGTTTGCAATGCTAATGAAGGGCTGGGACCAATCTCTAGCTAGGGAAGCTTTTTCTGGATTAAACTGTGTTTCTGAAGTCATGGACTGACTTAGGTAAAGTCTGAGTGTCTGAGATAACCAGCATTACTACCACCAGCAGACATCCATCTTCCTACAAGGAAACTCAGTGTGGCCTTTATGAATTGGACAGGGCTTCTACTCCAGTGTTTTAGTGGTAAAAATCTTTCACATTCAGCAACGTGAAAAATGAGGAAGACTCCCCCTCCCAACTCTATCAAAATACCAAGTTCTGCCCTGAAGCTCTGAGGAATCATAACTCCTCTGTTGTGTTTTCCATTCCTGCCCCTGCCTTCTAGTTCTCCCCTACCCCCATCACTTCCAACTCTTCCAGGTTCTTCAGTTCCTTGAAGAAGTTCCTAAGTGATGCAAACGCAGTCTGTATACAAACCTATGCTTCACAGAATGCTATTCTTATTCAAAAGACCCAAACTTGCAACCTGTTTGAGTAGCTGCTTTTCAACTGCAACCCTGAGTATGGGCTGCCATTTTTGCTGATTTCCATTTAATTCTGTCCTGCCATTCCTCTTTCCACATGCCAGTCTTCACAGAGAATGTTCTGGAATCAGACTGCTTGGGATCAAACCCTGGCTCTGCTGTGAGTGACCGCGTGTGCTAGTGCTTTCTTGGCTACTCCAGGAGAAGTAAACGATTTAATGCCTTCGAAGGTTTAGGTTGGCACTGAGGTCCTGAGGCAGTTTACAAGCACTATGAAAGGTAGAGTAACAGATTAGCCAAAAGGCAGCAACAGCACCAACAAATACACTATTTTGGAAATGTGTATAAATTATTCAACCCTCAGACAACTCCACTAGCACTTGCATTACTCTCCTTTTGCAGCTCAAGAAATAAAAACAGAGAGACTGAATTTTGTTCAGTTCATTCAGCAAAAGGTGGACTGGGCTCATATGTAGACTGGCTTCACAGCAAGTACTCAGTCAGTATACCTTCTTGTTACTGCTATGTGAATTTATGCACTCACAGACCTACAGCCTCTGTCACTAGCGGTGACGGCACATGTCTTATGCATCTTCAAAATATATTAAAAATAGATAGGAGCACCAATAGAATATTGATTTAGGCAAAGACTAGGACCTAAAATCATCAGAAGAAAGCAGTTGGGAACAGGATATTAGCACAGTGCCAAATGTCACCCCTGCCCCTGACTCCTTGTTAATTGTAAGAGGGAACAAGTACTTTTATAATGAGAGAGAGAGAGAAAGAGAAAGAGAGAGAAAGAGAGAGAGAGATCCCTAGAGCAAAATCAATGCCTAGAACCAGGATCAAACTTGGCATCATGAGTGGTGGAACAATCCAGAATGATGTGCCTTCTGATATAATGCAATACAGAGCACCCCATGGCACTTTATGAAAAAAAAAAAAGTTCAGTCAGAATCTTAACATGCACTGTCAAGAGTGGATAAAGCTGCTTGTTTGTTGCCAAGCCTAACAACCTGAGTTGGATCCCTGAATCCCACACAGTAGAAGAAGAGATCTGACTCCTGCAGATCAATTACCCTCTGACTTCCATGCATACGTTGTTACATGGATATCCACACATATACACACAGAATAAATAAGTAAATATGAACACCGATCTCAATGTGCTTTTAGTCCTGACATGAAAATTAAGAGGCACAGTGACAGATGAGCCATGAGGTAACAACTAATTCAGAATGTGGGGCATTTCTACAAGATCACTGACCTAACTTGGAAAAAAAAATATCCGGCATTGAATAGGGAGATATAAAGATCTGTTGTTTTGAAATAATAGTATAGGTGGCAGCTGGGGGTAAAATGAAGTAGGTTAATACATACTAGTCTTTAGGTAGTAAATATTATGGACTTCTACCTTCGTAGCCATAGTGATGGCATTGTGGTTATATAAAAGAATGTTCTGTGTTTTGGGTATGAACTGAATTATTCAGGAGTGAATTGTCATTCATCTGCAACTTACAAGAAATCCAGAGGGAAACACAGCAGATAGAGCAAGTGTGGAAAAGGTTATGTTAGTAAACCTAAGTGGGGTGTGTTTAGCATTTCAACTTTTAATTAAAAAAAATTTTTTTTGATAGGGTCTTTCTGTGTAGCTCTAGCTGGCTTAGTGGCCTTGAATTTACACCAATCCCCTGCCTTTGCTTCCCAAGTGCTGGGATTGTAGGCACGTGCAACCGTGCCCTGCTTAAATCTGTTCGGAAATTCACTTTCCACATGAGTCATGTGTTCAACATCTTTGGAGAGCAAAGGAGGCTTCCATCATTGTGTATGCTGTTGTAGTTTCATTAAATTCTCTAAAACTTTGGACTATGCTTATATACTTAAAAAGAAAACTACTTTTCAACATTATTTAGTGAAGCCTTATTAGTTCAAGTTTATTGAAAACCAATGTGAACTTTGTTAGAGACCTTGGCTCTACAGTGCAGGGTACAGTGCTATTACTGACACAAAACAATTGCTCAATAAGTGTTAGTGAAATGTTTGTTGAATGAAGCTGTCATTCCCTGAAAATTCTCAAACAGTATAAAAATATAATAATAAAGAAAAAAAGTAGAGACACAAGAGTTTGAGGTGCCCATTTATATAAGGAGCAAAGACTTTAATTATATAAAATGGGGCCAAACTATTTTACCTTTTGATTCAAGCAACTATGTTAAGTAAACTAGTCTTGAACTTTTAAAAATATTTGTTTATCATTATGTACACATCTACCACATGCTACAGCACTAATAGAGTTGGAGGACAACTTATAGGAATGGGCTCTCTTCTTTCACCATGTGAATCTCAAGGGCTGAATCAGGGTGTTAGATTTGGTGCTGAGCCTCCTCACTGCCCCCTTCAACAAATTTTAAGCTTGCTTCATGCGAGCTTGAAGATTCTGTCCCTCAAATCGACCCAGCAGCAACTGTGACTTAGTTAAGAAATCCCAAAGGACTCACACTTAATGACTGGTTTTTTTTTTTTTTGTTTAAACAATTACAGACTTTTCTATAGCCAGGGGCAAGTTCAGGCATGAGCTCTTTAAGCTGCCAACATCAGCAGGTGTTGCTCTCTGGGAATCAATAAATACATGGAAATCAGGATCACTGGCAGCTCTTCTAGAAGGCAGTGGTTCCAAAAGAGATGGCTCTGGGCAGCAAGAGAGATGTTTTGTACAAGAGATAGTAAGGAAGTGTTAAGATTTAGAGAAATAACAATGTTCCTTTCATGCATTTTTGTAGTGCCTTTCCCTGAGGTACATAGTATTTACATTAACTTTTTTATTTTTATGGTGTCCTTATGAGGTAGGTATAAAACACCTGAAGGTCTAAGACATGGATGCTGTTTTTAGCAACAAAGGACATTTCTTCATATTGAATAGATCAATCACCTCCTTCCCCTCTGCTTCAGTAAAGTAATTTATAAAGACGAAAGTGATTACAATTTAGGGAGAATACAATTACAATTTACTATGTGGGAGACTCTCCGAGTTGAGTCTCACAGGGTGGTTTGTTTTCAGTAATGTGGGGCTGCCTCCTTTTTATGAAAACTAAAACACAAGACATTCAAAAGTACTCAAAAATGTCACAAGTCAGAAGTTTTTAAAATTTGGCGTGGAAAGACACTACTAAATAGTGGCTATGCTTTGAGAGAGGACCTCTCTAAAATTATCCTGTGGACATCAAGCTTTGTAGGCCATGTTGAGTCACTATAGGAGACCACATTAAACTAAATGTTCATTGTGAAATCAAAAATGAAGAAAAAATACAAAGGACTCACTAAAGAATCAACAGTTTATAATAAATGTACCCACATGCAAGACTTCCATTGAAGTTCCCCCCCTTCTGATACTGTGGGTATTGCTTTAAGCCTATGCCGTTTTAGATCCTCAGCAGCCTCCTTTAATTTGACTATGGATATGTACTTTTAATAATATGCAAATGGTTACATATGCTGCACGTAAGGTAAGTAGGTGAGGTCATTTTTAGGTTAGTAAAAACCTGACCTTTGCATCCCTTCTTCATGTTCTGTAACAGATGGGGACAGGAGCAGAAACTAGAGATGGTCTTAAAGATGCCACAAAACTATTAATAAAGAGACAAAGGTAGACAACACCCTCTCCTCACATCTCCCACATGAAGTTTTCTTTTATTAAAGGAATCCAAACCAGTGTTATTCATAATGAGAGCAAATGCCACCAGCACTAGCAGCTGGAACTGGTGGAGACATGAGCAAGAGGTAGTTCTTGACCTCAGACTCTAGGCTCCAGCCAATGATGCTCAGTCCTCTGCCACTTCCCACTCCTCGATCTGAATTAATGCCGACCCTTCACCATTGGAGGGAGATTTGACTTCTGTGACTCCAACATCCAGAGTCTTTTCCAGACTTTTTACTTGCTACAAGCCAAATAAAGACCACATTTTCTTTAGTTCATTTGACAGAAGTTGAATCCTATCATTACCAACATACCCACCTAGATGAGACACAGGCTGATAGCATAAAGTATTAACAACAAAGTTTAGAAAACCAGTAGGACTCGCTCTTATTTGATTTATTTCGTTCATAGAGAACAGACCCTTAAAAGCACTCAAGGTTTCTAGATGGTCTGCACCCATGCTACAAAACATACCTTTTGGAAGTGAAGAGGTTGAGTGTGTATCTTGGCTTTGAGGACGAATTATTAGAATCACCTTTTGACAGTGGGAAGACGCATTCAAATGTCAAGGCAACTGCACTTCAGAGTACAAGTCTGCCTTGGGCTGGCTTCTGAGAACCACGCAAAGCAAACCCCAGATCCATCAATACAGCTTCCTCCTCCCTGCCTCTTGCTCTCCCCGCAAGCTGCCCCCAGCCAGTCTGTAGGCAAACCACACAGGAACTAGCAGACACCCAGCTGCACAGAGTTGGGTGTGAGCCTTAGATTATGTGGTTTTGTTTTCTTGCTGCTAGAGTAGCATAAGGTTCACCGAAACATGCCTGCCCTTTATGTTTCAGTTTTAACAATACCCGCCTGCCCCCAACTCTCATATTCACATAAGAAACATAACTTTTGATCCTGGATATGGTCTATTAGCAAGCTGCTGCTGGCTTCAAGAAAAGCCCTAGCTTCACATGCCTCCAACCAGAGAAACACAAAGGCCACTGGGAAAAAATAGTCACCCTGGTCAATTGCCATGTTAAAACCTCAGAGAAATCACTTGCTAAGCCTGACACATAACTCTTAGCTTGTGATAAAAATCTGGACCCAAGAAAGAAGAAAGGGGGAGGGACACTCTCAGAGCTAGGAGTTCTGTAACAGTACCCACTAACCAACTGAGTTAACCAGCCAGTGAGCTAGGAGTTCTAAGCCTAGGTTTGCCGCTGTCATGAGCAACGATCTTTCCTTAGACCCACAAGACTTGGCATTCTTTTGAACAAACTGGACCCAAGGCTTCTGATCATGTTCCTCAGCTTTCCCAGTTCTTACCTTAGCAGTTCTAGCCTGCCCTGCACCCCACCCCCAAGCCACCTGCAGCCTGTGCTAGCTTCTTCCTTTCTCTTTGTTCTTGTATCATCTGCATACAAATGAGACATATTTCAACTGGCTTAGTAACACCTTTAGAGTCTGGAGGCTGGATCGAAGGTGAGAAGGGGAAAATTGGGGATTTCACTGGCGTTAATCCTTGGATAATTTTTTTTTTCTCTATTTGACTCAATTTGAAGTTCTAAGATTTTTAAAAACTCATTGTTCATGCCTGCCTACTGAGGTGGTATCTCATTGCTTCTTTAAACTTTGCTGGAGATTTACTTTTTAAAATCCTTTTTTTTCCCCCTTATATAATTGCTCACCTTTCCTTTGAGATAAATTTTGTTATGTGATATGGCCCACACTATACCTGAGACTCTCCAACTTCTTGCCACAGCCTAAAAACTTGGGCTTAGCCTGCTCAAGTACTGCCGTTATAGATGTGTACTACTACCATAGTTGCTCACTTACGAATTTTAATTGAAATAGGAAAGAAGAAGCCTGGTATAGAGTTGGCAAGCTACCTTGGTGTGTGTCCAGTAAATACCCATCAAATGATCTAGAAGTAATTTGTTTCCCCCAACTCTCTAGTAATGGAATTTTAAAAAAAGATTTTATTCTAATTTTAACCCTGTGCATATGTGTGTAGGTGTGTGCACATGAATGTAGTGCCCATGGAGACCAGAAGAGTGCTGGGTCTCCCAAGCTGGGTAACAAGGCCACAGTGAGTTGTCAGGCATGGTCCTTTGCAAGACCCAGTGCATGGTCTTCTCTGCTGAGTTCTCTCTCCAGCCCCTTCCCTTATTAATGCAAGTCTGTACAATTTTCTTAAAACTAGGTTGTTTTAAGATGATATCCCCTATTTTCTCATGACAAAGGATTTTAAAAAGTAACTTGTCTCTGATTTTACAACAGCAACACTGGCTTCAGAGATCTAAGGACCTTCTTGGATCACATCATTACATTAAAAAGCTCCACTGCCAAGCTTTTGAGCTCTGAGAGCCTTTGGCCAGCACCCTCTTCAGCAGTAGTTACCAAGCCAACAGCATGTTGTGCATACTAGGGAGTGCATGGCTAGGGAAAATGGCAAATGGTTCTATCCAGAACCTCCCAGAGGTCTTTCTTTGTGCACTCTTGTGTGGAAGCTACTTTCCCACAGGGTACTACTGTGCCCCAGGGAGCAGAGTCCCTCCCTTTCCAAGTAAAGGGCAGAGAGAAGACCTGAAGAACCTCAAAGAGAATTAATTTTGCCAGCAAGTACTGGCTGCCTGGCAGACTTGATAGTCAGTACACAGGCTGGGGATGAAAAGAGGACAAAGTCACAGTTTGGGAACACAGACCCTGATGAGAGGGTGTCTGCATTTCCACCTTTGCCTTCAGGAGACACTCAGAAAAATAGCAAGTCATTAGGAGGATTCAGGAATGTGTGAGATCCCACTTATCCTCAATGAAGAAAATTTCCTTTAAAACTACACTTGCTTAAAAAAGAAAAACAGCAACTCCTTTTGAAGGGTCATCTTTGGTAACAGAGTTATGTGCAGTTGTGCTCCATTTCATTTTTTGAGTAAAGTATATATTTCTGATTCAATAGAGTGCATTCAGATGTTCAGTCACTCAACAGAGTTTGGACACCTTCTGCATGGATGGCTCCAGGGGCAGGCTAGGAATGTACAGGTGAATGTATGTATCCTCTACTTCGCTGGAGGTTATGTTCTGGTAAAGGGAGAAACAAAGCCTCAACCCTGTGGAGGAAGTCAACCCGGTGGAAATCTGGGGTAATAAGGACTCACAGCTACAAAGCCTTAGCATGAGAATGAATTTGTCACATCCAGTGAGACAGAGAAGTGGGTTCAGAGGTCAAAGGTGGTAGGGACACGAGATGGAGCCCTGCTGGCTGTGGCAAAGACTGAGACGTTATTCTGAGTGCGATGGAAGCCAATGGGAGAGTTTGAAGTGAGTGATGGGAGTTGGCTTGAGTTGGAGATTTCTCAAGGATTCCTCCTGACTGTCCTGTGGCACTGTCCATTGAGCCTCACAGTCATTACCATCTTAACAGAGCAGTTGCCATCACACGAAAGAGTCTTCAAACTCTGCCATACTGGGCTTTCTCCATAGCCTTAAGGAGGGCCAGGGGATGAATCCAAGGTTGGGATTCCAGCCATTCTTTCTTGCACCCTTCCCTTTAGCTGCATGTAACTGCCCCAGCTGCACGTGGTCTCAGAAGATGAGAGGCTAATCAAAGGGGAACTCCATCTATGCAGCTATGGGGAAGTCATGGTGATGTGGCTGTTGTGGGGGTGGGGTGGATCATCTTGTTCCTGTCAGTAACCCCTCACTCATAAACCAGTGGTTCTCAACTTGTGGATTGAGACCCCTTTACTGGGGGCAGTCAAACAATCCTTTTACAGGGGTCACCTAGGACCATCAAAAAGCACAGATATTTACATTATGACTCATTACAATAGCAAAATTACAGTTATGAAGTGACAACAAAAATAATTTCATGGTTGAGGGGTCACCACAACATGAGGAACTATATTAAAGTGTCGAACTGTTAGGAAGGTTGAAAACCACTGCTATAAGTAAACTAAATGAACTAATTGGTTCACTAAGCTCAACTTGGGCAGAATATTTACTTTGGTTTGTTGTTGGTCCCTATGTGGGAAAGCAGATATCTGTTTCTGTTTTTCCAGGAAAGGTTCATACAATAAACACTATACTGTAAGGTAGTGGTTCTCAACCTTCCTATTGCTATGAATTATAATGTAAAATTCTTTTAGAGATAGAGGTTTGCTAAGGGGGTCACGGCCAATAGGTTGAAAACTACTGTAAGGGACCAAGAAGAGAGGTTAAACACTGGCTAGGATGTTACTGTAATAGTCCAGGCAGGAGTGGTGGTGGCTTAGTGAAGGGTGGAGGTATTGGGGAAAGGCTGGAATCTGCATACAAAGGGTGGTTCTCACTCAAGTTTAGCAATAGATAGGTGTTGTTATAATCCCAATACTCAGAAGCCCAAGGCAGAAAGATTGCCATGAGTTTAAGGTACATTATAAGTTCTAGGCTAGCCTGTGTTACAATGTGAGATACCACCTCTTCATTGCCCCTTAAAAAAAAAAAAAAAAAAAAGAGGCCTTTAATCCTAGCACTCTGGAGGCAGAGGCAGGCAGATTTCTGTCTCAATTCAAAGCCAGCCTAGTAGTAATATTATTGTATTAGCTACTGGAACATAGCATCAATAACCCACTTTTCAGTAGCCATCTTGTATTTCAAAAGGAATCTGATAATTATGGCATAAAGTAAAACACAGCATCCAAATGGACTCCAGGGCTCCTAGCCTGAGAAATGAGAACAAGGTGGTGTCGAGTGAGACAGGAGACATGGTAAAGGAGCCTGTGTGCAGGAAAGTGTTAGGCTTTGGGCATGCTTATTATGAAATGTTAGTGAGGTATCTTAACAGGGAGATCAAAGCCCTTAATACAGGAGCTTGAAGGTCAAGAGAGATGAAGGCTGCCAATGAAATTTTGAAAGTTGTGGGTGTAGAAAAGGTTTAAAGCTGTGAGACTGAACATGTATTTCCTGGGCCATGGATCTAGCCAGAGAAGACAACCATATGGAGAAAGGATGCCTCCAAAGTTAAGAGATTGGAGAGCAAGTAACAACGGTCTGAGGTCAGAAGCAGCAGCATCCTGGATGCCAAACAGAGTAAAGTTTGTTGACTTCTTTGTAAAACTCCCAGGTCAGAAAATTAAAAAAAAACAAAACAAAACAAAACAAATAAAACAAAAACAAAACCAAAAAAACCAAAAAAAAAACAAAAAAACCAACACCGCATCAGTCAACTCATCATCAAAGAGCAGCATTTGTACTGTGGGTGGGGATAGCACAGTAATGCAACTACATTGTGACCCCAAGTGGAGGGAAACAGATAAAGAGGATCCCCTTACCTAATATTACATCTGTAGAGCTAATTGCACCAGTGTGGCCCACCTCACACTTCTGCTGAGACTAGACAACTCCTCTGCAGCTTATGGGGGCTGCAATCTTCCAGTGTGCCTTATCTATTTCTGTCTGCCTCACCAATCATTCTTTGTGTGTTGTCTGCCCTCAAGGCCCCACAGCCGGCTTCAAACCTTCTCCTTATTCCAGTTCTCTCCACTAGCCTGTCTTCCAGTGGTCTTCCACTCATAGGAACCTCAGATTAAAAATGTCCATGACAGAATATATCTTTTCTTCCTGTTAGACCATTCAGATCATCTTCCTAATCTTGAACAACTGACATTTACAGTCACCCCCAAAAGAAACTT